TCTCTCTCTCTCTCTCTCTCTCTCTCTCTCTCTCTCTCTCTCTCTCTCTCTCTCTCTCTCTCTCTCTCTCTCTCTCTCTTGCGCGCGCGCGCGCAAAACTGTGCATACGCGCAACTCCTGTGGTTTCCGCAGTCTCGACTGAGATTCAAAAGAACTGTCGGGGAAAGCTCGAGATAGGGCGAGATGAAGGCGGTAGAGCTGGCAATCTTGACGATGGGGCCGAGGATGGTAAGGGGGGGGAGGTCGCCGGGCGTGGAGAGGGATGGGAGCGGGACATCGGGAGAGAATGTCTACAGAGTGGGAAGGGGAGGGGGAGCGGGGGTGGGAGGGGCGGTGGGATATGGGTGCGATCTGCACATGGGGAACAGAGGAAGATCGCAAAAGGAGGAGCAGAAGAAGAAGTAGAAGAAAGAAGAAGGAGAATGAGGAGGAGAGGACGTCGAGAAGGTCCCTTTCTTTTCTTTCCCCCTTTTCTCTAGCTCCAATTTTCTTTCAGGCCGCTGAGAGAATCCAAAATGGTACTAACGTTTTTTTTCGAAAGGAAGGAAGGTATAGGTACGGACTACGGTTTGCCGAAATGGTCGAGTTCTTATCTATTCCTTCGGGGCGCAAAGAGTATTATAGCCGTATTTGGCGCAACTTTCAGTCTAGATGCAGCGATAGTGACCGGGCGTTCTATTCGGGTGAAGACGGTAGTGCCATTGGCGATCGAATGAAATTGAAATTTGGAAAATGGCTTGTGAAAATAGGCTATGGACAGTCCGAAATTACCTGCAGAGACAAGGGGAGAAGGAAATTGATGGGGAGGGGGAAAGACGAGGACGTACACACAACCACTTTCTGGGATGCATTTAGCCAGCAATCACGCTTGGATTCGGTCAAGGGAAGCAAGGAAATTGATGTGGAGCGGGAAAGACAAAAGGGGTGCTGCCTATTGCGCTCGTGAATCGAGCACATGACTTCGATCATCACTATTTGCGTCCTTCCATTTCTTCTTTTTTTTTCTTTTCTTTTTCTTTCTTTAATTTTGCGTCCTAAGAACCGCGATCATAACAATGTCTTGAAGAAGAAGGCAAAGACGGTGAAGGAGGAGGAGGGCGGAGAGGAGGAGTGGGGAGAGGAAAAAAAGGAGAGGAGAAAAAGGAGGAGGAGGAGGAGGAGGACAAGATGTTTCCGTCAAAGCCGGTGCCATGGCCAAGTTGCTCTCATACACGCAAGAACGGACCCTTCAGAATCAGTGCGTCAGCACTTGCTCAAATTTGCGCATCAAGAAGAAGACCCGTAGCGATGAACAGAGGACGACCACTGTCTTTCGCACATGCTTTCACAAAAAAGGAACGCGCAGACTGCCCGAGTCAAAGAGAATTTGAAACGAAGGTGAGGCCAATCGCTCTGCGTCTCTGCTTTCAAAGAGTGAATCACAGAACCTGCATAAAACGCTACTCGAGACAAAGAAGAAGAAGAATAGTGGAATAGTGGAAACACTGGCCAACTGCCTTTCGTACACGCTTCGAAAGCTCTTCAATACATAGCCGCGCGTACTCATCTCAGCTCACGCGCACAATCCCCGACACGTTTCGATCGGTTGCGCTCCGATCCTCCTCAGGGGGCTAACCTCATGACCCTGCCTTGCGGCCCGCCGACATTCCTCCCGTCTTAAGAAGAAGAAGAAGAAGAAGAAGAAGAAGAAGAAGAAGAAGAAGCGGAAGAAGAAGAAAGCCAAATTATTGGGGGATGGAGATAACATAGGGGGGGGGGGGGGGAAAGGACAGAGAGCGTGGGTTGCAGATTTTACCTGGACTGGCGCAAAGAAGCCTCGCTCTTTTCCTCGTCAGGGCTTTCCTTAGTTCGATTATTCCCCCTCCCTACGCGTAACTTTTTCTCTTCTCCTTTCCTTTTTTTTCTCTCCTCTCCTTTCCTTTCTTTCTCTTTCTCTCCTGCCCGTTTCCTTTCCCTTGCCGCCGTGATGCATCCTTTTTTTTCATCCTAAGCTCGCATTTGCCGCTGTTTCATCCCGCGCCAAATTTCCTTTTCCTTCTTTTGCACGTTGCTTAGTCCAATTTCGAAGTGGGATGAACTGAAGGTCGCATCGTCCCGGACCACCGCTACCTTTCCCATATGTCTACCTTTGCCATATGTCGGCCGCGCAGTCTTTCGAGACATCCGTTAAATTTGGAGCGATGCAGAGAACATTGATTAGCATGGCCCCTGCGCAAGGATGACACGCAAAAATATGTCCGCCGCGCGCATCTACCGGTAGTAGCCTACTCCTGAAAAATAGCCGCCACGCCGCCGTCGATACGTCCGAATTTGAATTTGAGGCCCGCGGCGCCACATATGGCGGCCCCACAGATGAGAAAGGTAGAGGTGCCTTTTCCTTTCCAATATGTCGGCCGCGGGCATCTAGTAGCCTACTCCTGAAAAATAGCCACCGGGCCGCCGTCTTGAAGGGGGGGGTAGGGGGAGGTGCAGTGACTGGCCATTGTGGTCACCCGTTTGTTGCCCAAAGCAGAAAAGACAGGGTCGTGACCTGGCCTTGAGATGCTAAAATACGTTGTCTGCAGTCAGACAGCACAATGCACTTTTTACAGCACAATGACAAACCACTTTCTGTAACGCGCGAGTTTCTGCGCGGTTGCAACGAGGGGTCCTAAGCTGGGAAGATTGGGCCAATTACGGGAAATCGGGATCGGTGAAAAATTGCATCAGTACCCTTGCTTCTTCGCCTTTGCTTCATCGGGGCTGGGTGTGTCCGGGGACGGCCGGCTGGGCGATTGGTCGGACGGATGTCTGGCGCGCCACCACGCGCGCAATTAATAAATGTTGACGTTGTTTCTTTCGTTTCGGGTTCGATCTTTTGGGCGCAGACATCGAGCGGGAAATTGTTTCGTTTTTTTTTTATTTCCTTTTGAATCTTTTTCGAATTTTGTCGAGCCCCGATGGCTCTCGGGATTTTGGACTTTCTTTCTGGAATGTGTGCTTTTTACTTTTCCACACTAGATAGGAATTTAGAAATTCAGTAATTAGGACTTTTTCTGCCGCTCTGCGCCTTTTGTCTACGCGCTTTTTCATGCGGCTGCAACGGTACTCTGATTAGTGGGCGCCCTTAATCGTGTCTGTGACTGCAATTTTGGGCGGGCGCCATTGTAACTGTATCTTTCCTCTTGCACTTCGTCTCTCCCGCTCTTCCTCTCTTTCTTTTGCTGTGAGCCGCGGCTTGCATGCTCGGATCAATGCGTGGAGAAGGGTTACGTCCCCCACGCCGCGGCCGATCATGCAGAACGCAGGCGCTTCCCTAATCCCCACTCTAAGTCCTGGTAATTCCGTGCTCTTCGCGCATGCATGCACGCTATAAATTTCGGCTGCGCGATTAGTCAGCTCTCTTGACCTGTTGTTGGAAGCTCGGGGTTGCGCGATCAGGAAGGGTTGGCACACGAGCGAAGTAAGAGGTAAGTAGGGTAGGAGTTGGGCGGCCCGACGGGCTGGTGCCGAACGCGCGGGATTGACGTGGGCCATGACGGACTGTGGGCACGGGCGAATCCGACGGGTGCAGGAGGACTAAGCGGGGTGACAACTTCGTGGGTGGGTGCGTGACGACGGATTGTCCGCATCGAAGAGAGAGAGAGAGTTGAGGTCGATGGACGTGGGTTTGCTGTTTCTTTGTCTTTTCCCCCTCTTCGTCTGCGTACATACATTTTGATTACGGCTTCGGGCGGTTTGCCCGTTCTTATTTTCATTTTCGGCTTTCGGGAACCGAGACTTGGGTTTTTGCTCACACTTGTCCCTGCTTTTGTCCATCTCGATTGCGCGATGTGTATGATTGTTGAATGTATGGATGTAGGGATGTTATGCTTGCTCATCTACATCACTGTTGAGAATCCCGGCCCTTACCTTTGTTTGTGTCAAACCTTTGCTCACAACTGATGCAGTTGTAGATGGGATAAGGATCTGGCACCGATAGCGATTTTGTCCTCGTACTTGTTTATCTCGCGATGGGGGTTGTGATATGGTCGCATCTTGCATAATCCGAAGCAATTAAACGATATGGGGATTGACCCCACGAACGCAGCGCGAGAATACGTGTGAACGCGATCTGAGTCGCACCCTTACACGCATTCCCGTACGTCGATTCGCCCACCCAAGAAGACTTGAGGCGGAACCGTCATCCCGTACGAACATACTGAGGCGTCACTGAATTTGCCTGTCCTACACGTGTCCGTGCGTCGTGACGATATCCCGACCCGAGCTATCCCATCGACGATGATACCATGACGCAATCTTGGAACTCAGACTCGTCCTATGACCCGGACTATTTCACCCCTATAATAAACGAACTCATAAGGACACGGTACCCTTGTCACACGGAGAATCGGCTATGTCCGCGGGAATTCCACTGTGCCACCACTAGCGCCCCTCGGTGCTCCGATTTCCCTTCCCCCGACCACACATACTACTTCACCCATCCGGGATTCGTTGAGATCACCACCAGTTTCCCTCCTTTCTGCCTCCTTCTCCCATATCATCAACTCAGTGTCGTCCCATGGCCCGCCATAGCCCCCTACTGGCCCAATACGTTTTGCGTGAACTGCCGACGTAGTGGCGGACAGAGAACTCCGGAATTCCGAAGGCCCAACCCGGGCGTGCAGCGACCTGCGCCACGTGGCGGCCCCCGACGGCCTAACTTTTCAGGACCACCCCCACCACGGAGGGACTTCCCCGTAACCCGTCACCCACAGTGCCCTGGCCCCACCAGACCGTGAGTCCCTTGCGCACGCACCCYTGACTCGCCTAATTGCATTCATACCCTTAAGACTCCCCCACTTTCCCCAAAAATCCTTGGCACACCCCTTTTCGCACTTCCAGGCCCACATCCCACTCCGATCAGGAAGTCGCGCTGGGCGTGAGGTTGGTATTGGAGCCCGACACGTTGTGGGGAAACCCGGGGAGGGGGCCCTGTTCGTCGCTGAAGCCAGGGGGTACAGTGCCTGTCACTTCACTGTCCCCACTTCAGAGGTCCTCAACGACCAACAGGGATCTAGGTAGGAGACGCCCTGTCACGCTRCCTGTTTTTCTTTTCTCTTTTCTTCTTTATTTGGCATCTTCACACCGCAAGGAGTTTCAATCAGTCAACAGTTAAATCGGCTGGTTCAGACAGTAACGAGTTCCAACAGTCAAGCGGTAAATCACCAGGTTCAGACAGTAAGGAGTTTCAATAGCCAACAGGTAATTCAGCTGTTTCAAGCAGTAATAAGTCTCAATAGTCAACCGGTAAATCGACTGGTTCAGACAATAATGAGTTCCATCGATCAACTGGTAAATCAGCAGGTTTGCACAGGAAAGAGTCTCGGCAGTTCTCTTGCTGTTCTTCCTCTTTCTCTCTCACGCTATTCCCCCTCGCTGTTCTCTCA